GGTAATTGTCATACACCGACCTTAATAGCTGCTCGCAAACATCGCTTGCCCCCGATAGTCTAAGCAGGCTACACGGGAAACTCATCGTCTTTGTGATACATTCCGTGTTTGTTTCTCTTCATTGTGTTTGTTTGTCTTGGTGGAGGGGTTGTTGTTGTTTACCTGTGCTGACCCCATCGAGACGTCACCAGGTGTGCCTGTTGCGATGGATGGCAACAGGTGGCAGGCGGTGTCCGTGTCGACCTCGGGGAGGCCCAGCACCGGTTCAGATAATCGTCACTGGCCGTGAGCGGGAATCGAACTCGGGCCGCCGGGTTCTTAGCACAGCGTAGCGCTAACCGCTACACGGCGCCACAGCTCGCCAGCAACTCGCGCGATGGTGACGAGTCTGAGTCCCTTCTCGTGCGTGGTGACATCAGCAGCAGCAGCGGTGTGTCTCAGAAGCTGAATGCCAACATGTACCTGTGTACGTTGAGCTTCTTCCGCACCGGACGCAGCCAACCGTGCTCATCGGAGGCGCGGGGGCACCTGCTGCCAGCCACGACGAGAGGGGCTTCGGCAGAGGGAGTTCGTGGAGTGTTTCTGTTCCTACTCTGTTGAAGGAGCGCAGGCAACAGTGGGGGTTACTGTGCGGCCCGTAGCTTGTGCTGCATGGCCACGGTCGCACTGCCTTGGCTGGTCTTTAATGCATCTCTTTGTGGCTCCATGAAGCTCTATGCGTCTCCTCCATGTGTCGCTATGTGTATCTGTGTATATCAATGGGTCTATATATATGTGAGTCGTGTGTGTATTTCTGCGCGTGTCTGAGGGTTTACTATGTGGTCCATAGCTTAAGGTTGCATGGCCGAAGTCGCGTTACTGCGGCTGCGTCGTTAATTTGCTGTTCACGAAGGAGGTGTCCGCATCGGCCTGTTGATGTTGTGATGCGGTTGATGGTTGCACCGCCGGTGTCTTCGACGGGGAGGAGGAAAGTGAAAGCCGGGAGGAGGTGCGGCGATGTCTGGAGCTCGAATGAGGAGGCGCTTATTCTGGACGTCCGCGTTGTTCCACTCTCGAATTATATTCCAGAATGAAAACGAATTTCTTTCGAACTGATTTTAGTGGTTAGTTTGTTGTCCCGCCCCCCCCCTCCCTCGCACATCCGATTAGTACGGTTGGATACGTACGTCGTGAAAGAAGTTCAACATGCACACTTACACTCTGTGGGTGAGTGTCTACGACGGTGACGGCCGCACGACCCCCGAAGGGGGATTGAGGCTTGAGTCGGTTGGCGTCGAGTTGACATTATCGAGGTCCTCGTTGGTACGTGGAGTGTCATCGGCAAGCCACACGTATAACAAAGAGTCGAGTAACCGACCAGACGTTGAGTCGGAGACGACAAAGTGCTCCAGTGGCCCACGGAGAGACTCATGACCAACACCCGTCGGCGTTGGGAAGAAGCTTTGTGCTCTCTCGCGACCCGTCTGGTTGGCTACTGCTGCTCGATCGTGGGATGTGTGCCGATGCCTCCTCAGCTACATCGAGGCACCTTGATGATACGGGGGTTCTGTATGGGATGAGACGAGGGTTCTGTATGGGATGAGACGAGGGTTCTGTATGGGATGAGATGAGGGTTCTGTATGGGATGGGACGAGGGTGCTGTATGGGATGAGACGAGGGTTCTGTATGGGATCAGACGAGGGTTCTGTATGGGATGAGACGAGGGTTCTGTTTGGGATGATACTGGGGTTCTGTATGGGATGGGACGAGGGTTCTGTATGGGATGGGACGAGGGTTCTGTATGGGATGGGACGAGGGTCCTGTAATGGATGGGACGAAGGTTCTGTATGGGATTGGACCAGGGTTATATATGGGATGGGACGAGGGTTATGTATGGGATGGGACGAAGGTCTGTATGGGATGGGACGAGGGTTCTGTATGGGATGGGGCGAGGGTTCTGTATGGGATGGGACGAGGGTTTCTTATATGATGTCATTCACAACAATCGCTACTTATAATGGAACAGCTGTGGACTATTACACGTTATTACTTTATTATTAACGTTTCGGGCAAGGCCAGGGGTTCTTTTTCAAAGTGGAGGAAGTAGACATCGCCAACAACGTGACATCAGGACGTCACGGTGGCGACGAGATGTTCACTCCCTCGCCTGGTGTATAGGAGGTCGTGGGTTCAATCTCGACCCTGACGATGCCTGCTGCTGCTGTATATTTGGAGTTTGCGTGTCTCTCTCTCATCATCATCACCACCACAGTGGCTAGGAGAGGTTGACTACCTCGCCTGGTGTACAGGAGGTCGTGGGTTCAATCTCGACCCTGACGATGCCTGCTGTATATTTGGAGTTTGCGGCGTCTCTCTCCCCATGGTCGCGAGTTTTCTCCAGGTCGTCCGGTTTTCCCCTCCACATTTAGAATCAACATCACGCATTTAGAATAATTGGCTGCTATGAATTCCCACGATGATAAGCCACTTCGTTGAGCTATCATTTGTGGCCAGGTCGCTTCTGAAAAAAGAGCGCTATAGCTCAGCAAGCCTTACCTGGTAAAGTCTATAGTTTTATTTTAGTTTCAATCTGAGTTTGAGGCCCAATAGCACAGTGGTCAGCCAGTGCAACTTGCAATCAGAAGGGGGACAGGTTCGCTTCCCGGTCACATGAGTCGATTCAGCCCATCGTTTTTTTTAAGAGCTCATAAAACAAATTCCAACTTTGTGAGCACTCAGAAGTAGCTGCCCTGCGGTCCGCCATAAGAATGTGGAATTGTCACTCCTGAGAGGCGTAAACGGAGCTGAGCGTCGCTTTGAAGTTTAAAGGGCCGTGCTCCAAAATCAGACGTCCTTACGTAAACACGCACACGCATAGGCTCGCATGCACACGCAAAGACAAAGACCCCCCCCCCCCCCGATAGCCTTTAATCGATTGTTGGGGCAAGTGCTGTTAGCGAGTAGCAGCGATTAAAGCCGGCACTGCACACAAAGGGGTGGGTGGCCAGCACCACGCCCGACCGCCTTTGTATCCCCAGTTGGCGATGTTTACACACCGCCGCACAGGGAACGCATTTGAGGCTGAGTCTACCTCCGACAGCACACACACACGCAGCCACGCAGGGACACTCTTCGCACACGGACGCAAACGCAATGTGCGTGAGTTCTGCTGGGTTGAATGAGTGGTTTGTGCACGCTACCACGGACCCGAGCGCCTGAGTTCATTTGCACAACAAACTTGAGTGCGCTACCTCGAGGGGTGTTCACGAGGTATCTTGTGCGTGCGTGCGTGCACGTGTGTGTGTTTGTGTCTGTGTGCGGTGCTCGCTAACAGCTAACCTGGGGAGCAGTGGTGTAGCGGTTAGCGCTACGCTGCGCTACGAACCCGGCGATCCGGGTTCGATTCCCGCTCACGGCAAACACCAGTGACGATTTTCTGAACCGGTCCCGGGCCTCCCCTAGGTCGACTCAGCCTCAAATGAGTACCCGGTGCGGTGTGTAAACATCGACACTGGGGAGGCAAAGGCGGTCGGGCGTGGTGCTGGCCACTCACCCCCTCGTATGCCGTTCTGGCCTTCATAGGTGCTCGCTAACAGCACTTGCCCCTACATTTTGCCAAGGCTATACGGGGGATCTTTGTCTTTGTGCTCGCTAACAGCGCTTGCGCCAAACGTCTGTCGAGGCTATACGGAGTTCTTTTTATTTGTGTGTGTGTGTGTGAGCAATGTGGTGCTACCGTGTGGAGCGGTGGCGCAGTGGTGAGGGCACTGCGCTGCGAACCCCGAGTTCGATTACCGCTCGCGGAAAAAAATTATCGGTGACGAATATCTAAACCAGTCTGGGGCTTCCCCCTTGGTCAACCCACGTTTACATGAGTATCTGGTACTGTTTACAATAAATAAAAAACACGAGCCACTGGAGAGACAAAGACGGCCGGGCGTGGTTCTGGATACACACGCCGCTCGTGTGCCGTGCCGGCCTCAATGAGCTTCTCACGAACAGCGCTTGTCCGAACAGTCTGTTAGTGGCTGTGTCGGAGGGGGGTGGTCTTTGTGAGCTACAGTGGGGGAGTCGTGGCGCAGTGGTTGACGCACTGCGCTATACAAAGCCGGCGACGCGAGTTCCATTCCCCGACCACAACTAACATCGGTGCCGAGTGATATCCAAACCGGCCCTGGTTCAGATGTCAGCGGCGCGCCGAGTGTGTTTTTTTGTCCCGCTGTAGAGGATGCAATCTGGAATCTGGCCAATGTTTAACTTCTTCTTTCTAGCCGTGTGGCGCGTTGACGTGGCTGAGCGGGAGCGTGCTCGCCGTTTGTTGCAAGAGGTTCCCGGTTCGAAATCTCCCTCGGCTGCCCTGGTGAACACTCCGCGGGCGCATTGCCCCACGGACACGTACGCGTCGCCACGCTTCGCAGCGTACGGCTCGAGGTCCCCGTGATGTCGTTGGCGAAAGAGGGGAGGCCACGTGTGCCGTAAATTACCTGATGGGGGGGGAAAAAACCCAGCATCCATTGTCCCCTACTGCGAAGCACGGCGCCTTGGCGTCACGGCCTGGCGCTGTGAGAACGCGCGGCAACGCCCGCACGTGGTGGGACGTTGCGCGGGATGGCGAAGGGCCGGTTGGTCAGCGGCGGCATTGGAGCGGTCTCCATGAGTCTTGCGACCAAGAGAGAAGGAGAAGACCTCAAAGCAGACGGTGGGATATTGTGAGGGCAGATCTGTAGGGTCTCCGTGTGACTCTACAGGTCTCTGTGTGAGTTTGAGAGTCGATAGGTGGTACAGATAATGCGAGGGGCAGCTCTATAGGGTCTCTGTGTGAATCTACAGGTCTCTGTGTGAGTATGAGAGTCGATAGGTGGGACAGGTAATGCGAAGGCAGATCTGTACTGGCAAAAAGGTCCCACGGATATTGATTTGTTTTGTTTATGCGGAGTCGCAGACGCGCGTGGGAGACGTTAATGCCCGCCTCGTTGATTATAATTTAGACGCTCGGCATTGGGTTTCCGCCTGCCCAACAGAGGTGGACGAGTGCAGCGGCGGCGTCGGTGGTGGCGACGATGGGAGCCGACGAGGAGGAGGAGGAGGCGGCGGTGCCGACGGCGCCGAGGGCGTCTCCGCGGGCTGCGCGGGGTGCGGGAGGCCCATCCGGGACGCGTTCCTCCTGCGCGTGTGGCCCAACCTGCGGTTCCACGCCGCCTGCCTGCGCTGCGCCGAGTGCCGTGCGCAGCTGCACGAGGCCCGCTCCTGCTTCGTGCGTGCAGGCCGCACCTTCTGCCAGCGGGACTACAACCGGTATGGGCCCCCCCCCCCCTCACGGCCGTGCACGTGTGTGTGTATGTGGGGAGCAGTAGTGTGGCTGTGAGTGCGCTGCACTACGAACCCGGCGACCCGAGTTTAATTGCCGCTCGCGGCCAACACCAGTGAGGATTATTTTAACCGGTTCTGGGGCCTCCCCTAGGTGGACCGGTGCAGTATGTTAAAAAACATCGGAACTGGGGAGACAAAGGTAGCCGGGCGTGTCCTGTAAATCATTTTGCAAATCAACCAGCAATGGGTCGACAAATGCTGTACAATGTCGGAGTTACTACTGAGAGTGGTGGCTGTGCTTCTGCTGCTGCAGTCTTGCCCCTCGCCTCATGTTGTCACCCCTCTGATCCCTTCCTCTCAATGTCCCGTCTCTCTCCTATCTCCTCTCTCCCTCCATTATCCTCCGTCTCTCTCCTCTCTCCCTCCACTATCCTCCCTCTCTCTCTCATCTCACTTTCTCCCCTCTCTGCTCCCTATTCCCTCTCCTTTCTCAAAACCATCTCTGGTCTCACCGCATCTCTCTCCTCCGTCTTCCTACCTCTCTTCTCTCTCCCATCTCTCCTTACTCTACCTCCTCCTTTTCACTCCTCCTTCTCTCTGCTCCCATTTCCTCCCCCCCCCTCCCACCCTCCCACCCCCTACCCCCGCTGCCCCTACACAGTCTGTTCGGGGTCAAGTGCTCGCGCTGCTCGCTGGGTCTGAGCCGCACCGAGCTCGTGATGCGAGTGCGCGGCCGCATCTACCACCTCGCGTGCTTCCGCTGCTGGGCGTGCGCCCGGCGCCTGCTGCCGGGAGACGAGGTCTCCCTGCGCCCCGCCGGAGAGCTCCTGTGCAGGGCGCACAGCCTCCCGCCCCCACCGCACCATCACCACCATCACCACCATCATCACAATCATCATCACGGTCATCAACAACAACAGCAGCAGCAGCAACAGCAGCAACTCAACGATGCGCATCTCGAGAATAATCACCATCATCCGCAACACCACCACCACCACCATCATCATCCTCACGTCCATAACCAAGGACACAACCATCACAACCATCACCATCACCAGGAGCGCCCCGCTGGTGTGCCGTCACTGAGGCCCGACAGGGCTCACAGGGGCCCCGGGGAGAAGAGGGGACCCGTGCCACGACCCTCGTGCGGGGACCTGCACATGTCCGGTACGTCGTCATGTGTGATGCGCAGGGCTGTGAGGCGTCAGGGCGGTTGGTGCTCTAAGCGTGGTCCCCAGTACCTACTGCCGGTTGGTCCGCGAGACCGTGATGCACACGCTGGTCGATCTGGACAATAACGACAGCGTTAATATAACTTTTGTTTCGGACATAAATTTATATTTAACTCATGATGTTTAATTTTAAAATTAACTTTCCGTAAACTACCCTGATTGAACTATCCTAGCCTCCCTTAAAAAAACAAAATCTTATAGCTGCGTACATGTTTTTGTATGTTCCGGTAATGTGAATAATTTAGTACGAGTGGAATTTAAAGAGAGAAGCTTGTGCATTTTGTCACTAGGGGTGCGGGTCTGGGCGGTCTGTGGAAATGTTTGCATCGGTTCAGTGGTCCGAGGGCCAAAAAAAGTTTGAGAAACAGTGCACTAGAGGAACCGAGAGGGGATGGGGGGGGAGGATTCTGTGTGGGGGTGGGGGACACGAGACCCAAGTCCCGTGACGCAGTTCTCCAATGACGTGAATTAATTATACTGTTAATGTAATTCGGTTTGTGGTGAAAGTGATTCATCAGGAGCAGGTTGGGATATCGTTGAAAATGCTGAAAAGTGCCCAAAGGAGCTTGGGGAGGTGCCAGTGTAGAATTGCCCTTAGAGACGGATGTGGTTATATGATAGTAAAGCGGCCACTAGAGCAGTGTTCTTCATTGCAAGGCCCCGCGGGCCGTTGGTGGCCCCTGGGTGGCCTTTCGTGCGACCCCTGATGTGCGGCCCCCGAAAAAACACAAACAATGAAACACCCCACCGTGCTGTTAAACCCCAATGGCGTCAAATGTGTGGCGGCCCTCACGCCGATGTCTTATCGGTGAAAGTGCCCCCCTCCCCCCTCTCAGGAGCACTGCACTAAAAAGAGCCCTGCATTTAATCGAGCCCTGCCTACCCCGCCCGTGCCCCGTGGCCTGTGCCAGGCTCGGGCAAGGCGAGCCGGGTCCGCACCGTCCTGACGGAGCGACAGCTGCAGACGCTGCGCACGTGCTACGCGGCGAACCCGCGGCCCGACGCCCTCCTGAAGGAGCAGCTCGTGGAGATGACGGGCCTGAGCCCCCGCGTCATCCGCGTCTGGTTCCAGAACAAGCGCTGCAAGGACAAGAAGCGCACCCTGGCGGGGCGGCACGACGGAGAGCCGCCGTCGCCGGACGCCAAGACCGTGAGTCCCGTCCCTTCCACGAGACCTCCGCAGCGCACGCCCAGGGCCCCTCGTTTCCCACGACAGTCTTTTTTTTCTTGGGGGGGGGGGGACTCCCTGCTCTCTGTGCCCTGCGACCCCTCCCCCTACAAGACGAGGACTTGCCGCGCTTGACTTGTTGGGGCGGTGGAACCTAATGAGACGTTGCCGATATGTTGAACTCTTTATATATGTTATTCACCCTATTTCGCACCATACATAGCCAACCGTGCTAATCGGAGGTGCGGGAGAACGACAACAAACTCAACACAAAAGGCAATTCTAAAGAAATGTGTTCTCGATCTCGATTTCAAAGTGCCTGCCATGCGCTTCCGCTGCTTTTGCAGTGCCTGCAGGGCCTGGAGGGCAAGGCCCTGGTGGCGCGGAGCCCCGTGACGCAGGACAGCGAGGCGGAGGCCGAAGCTGCGGGAGCCGGCGGTGGGGGCGGCGGCGGCGTGGCGGTGCGTGCCTCCCCACAGCCCCCCTCGTGGCGAGCGCTCGCCGCCTTCGCCCTGCGCGCCCAGCTGCAGCCCCTGCCCTCCACCAGACAGGCGGTACGTGCGTGGGTGCGTGCGTGTGTGGCGTGTGCGTGTGTACGGGCGTCCGTCGCGGGATGCGGTGGGAGTGGGGGGCAAAGCGGTGGCTGCTGTATGGAGACAGGCGCACGGGACCACTTAGGGGGTAACCGGGGTACAGGTGTACTCGAAGAAGGGGGCGTACGTGGAGGTAGGCGTTCGATCGTGGGTAAAGATACCTTGAGACAGATGTATATGGATTGTAAGATAAGGTTACCTGGAGAAAAAGTTGCATGCGCCTGAACGGAGAGGTGTACTGTGAGGTGGGTGTGCTGGGATACAGGGGTATCTTTATACAGGTGTATACCGAATTGAGGTATACGTAAAGCTACCAAAACTGATGCTGCTTGGGAGTTCCAAAGCTTTTGTGAAATAGCGCGATTTTGTCCTCGGCTAAGATTTTCTGGCTCCATTGTTTGACTCACGATTATGGGATATTAGCTTATTTATTTTACCAAGTTAGGACACACTGAGCTAAGTAGCTCTTTTTCAGAAGCGACCTTACTATCACAAACGACAGCTCAACGCAGTGGCCTATAACGTGAAAATTCTCTAAAAGGGCAGTTACCTGAGCAGCGGGCGGGGCTGAATGAACAGTGGGCGGGGCTACCTGAACAGTGGGCGGGGCTACCCGAGTTGAGGGCCTCTCCCTTTGGGCGGGGATAGTGGAGTGGTTGGGGCTATGTGAAAGTGGGCGGGGCTCAATGGTTGCTTCCGGCTCACCTTTGCTTCCTGGTCGAGCCTCGCGGACTCCTGCTTTCTTTTAGGGGGTGAGGTGTACACGGCGCCGCTCGGGAAGTGCCCATCGTATTCCCGTCCCGCTTCCAGGCCGCCAAAGCGGAGTGCGCGTGTCCGTGGTGACGACGCGGCGGTAACCCGAGAGTCCGATCCCTGGCCCGTATTTTCCGGCGCCGTCGCCGTGCCGCTTAGCTGCTTCGCTGCACTCGCACCGTAAATATTCGTCACGCGCGCTCGCAAACATTTGCCGTGCGGCTTTCGCGCACCGATGCGAGCGCAAAATAACTGCGGGTTTGCCTATCGCACGGAGGGGCTTAAAAATCTGTCTCGTGTCGTTTGCTTTGGGGTGCCCCTTAAGGTTGCGGAAATGGAATGATTTGTGTTTCACCACTCAACCCCCCCCCCCCCACCGGGAGTTTGATCAAATGTCAAGACTCAGCGCTGCCATATTGGGTTGGTGTCATTGCAGGCTAGTTTGTCCGACTCGGGTCTTCTGTTGGAACTGTGACATTGCCCTCACGGATGTCCCGGGGCTCCATGAGCGAACAAATGGGCACCACGGTGGCTAGGAGATGTTAACTACCTCGCTTGGTTTACAGGAGGCCGTGGGTTCAATCCCGACCCTGATGCCTGCTGCTGAATATTTGGAGTTTGCAGTGTCTCTCTCCCTGTGGTCGCGTGGATTTTTATAATGGGTCCTTCCCTCCACGTTTAGAATCAACATCACGCGTTCAGAGTATTTGTCTGCTATACATTTCCGCGCGATGAGCCACTTCGTTGAGCTACCATTTGTGGCCAGGTCGCTTCTGAAGAAACAGCTGCACAGCTCAGCGGGGACTTACCTGGCAAAGTTACACAAATAAAGAATTAAAGCTTTCGTGACTGCATAAGATTACTCATTGGCTTTTTCGGTAAAGTCACGTATGTAGAAATACAATAAAATTATATTGAAACAAAACAAAACAATCACGGCGTTTCGATCACAACACAAGCGATCTTCATCAGGTGTCAAGAACAAATCATGGAGGTAAATACAACAAGAAGATGAAAGAGGAGAATTCAACAAACGCAAGAAACATTATGTGAAGCACAACCAGTCAAGCCAACAACACAGTTAGACAATTCCTGGCGGGACACGGATTTCATAAGAGTGTTAAATTTTGTTTTCAACTTCTGGATTGCACTTACCAGCATAGAGTGAACAAATACGAGGTACAAAGTCAGCAGAAATACATATACAGGCCCACTAAGAGGCAAAGAGGGAGGAAAAGACAGACAGAAGCAAGGAGAGAGAGAGAGGGGTCCGCCAGGAATTGTCTAACTGTGTTGTTGGCTTGACTGGTTGTGCTTCACATAATGTTTCTTGCGTTTGTTGAATTCTCGTCTCTCATCTTCTTGTTGTATTTACCTCCATGATTTGTTCTTGACACCTGATGAAGATCGCTTGTGTTGTGATCGAAACGTCGTGATTGTTTTGTTTTGTTTCAATATAATTTTATTGTATTTCCACATACGTGACTTTACCGAAAAAGCCAATGAGTTACACAGATAGTTTAGTTTATTCGCTTATTGCGGTTGTTGTCGTGGTTTTCGTCGTTGCAGGCGAGTTTGTCCGACTCGGGCTCCTGTTCGGACTCGTCGTCGGCGAGTGACGTCACCCTGCTGCCATCACATCTGCCCGACACCCCCACCAGCCTGGCGTCAGACCTCTGCTCCGAGTCATAACCGCACGCAGTCTCACACACACCCCGGCCCCTCCAACCTACATCCCCCTCCTCCCACTGCCACACCGCCAACCCTCGCCCGCCGTTCCCACTGGGCATGTAACGATTCATTCATTTGGTCTCGTTTGTGTTGTGTTATCTGTATCGCCTGTCTGGTTTGGTGTCTCTTTATTTTCCGTCATGTTTGTTCTCCGTGTTACCTTGTCTTGTGTAGTACGTCTGCTGGGTAAGGTCTTGTTTGTTCTAGCTGCGTTCCACCTCGTGTCTTCTGTCTCGTTCTGTATTCCCTGTTTTGTTCTGTCTCAATTGTTCCGACTCATTTCCTCTGCCCTTGTTCTGCCTCATCTGTATAGTCTCGTTTGTTCTGTCCCGTTGTTATTTTCATCTCGCTTGCGTTACTCATCTTGTTTGTTCCTTCTCGATTGTTCCATTAACCTCCGTGTAACATTTGCATGAAATGTGCACGTGACGAGCTTCACAATTGAATCGATTCCCGCAAGCGAGATACGACGACGTTCCTAACAATGCCTGCACGAGAGTCGATTCCGATCGATGATGCGTCGTTACATGCCTAGCCTCTGCACCACCTGGTGGGAAACGCTACGGCCCAAGGGCTGGATGCGGTTCGCTCCTTCGTTTCACACGGCCCATTCATTTTGTACGACCCGCCACGACACGAGGCCCACCACTTGTAAACGGCCCACAAACGAAACCTGTCCATCACCTGCGAGCGCCTTGGCCGCTCTAATCGGGTACTAGAGGGGAATATTTGAGTGTCGCGCTCAGCCATGCCTGTACATTTCCAGCAGTGGTAGAAGTGACTGGGCTGTGTGTGTCTGTGAATGTGTCGTTGACTGCCAAAGGTATTTGAAAGTCGTATTTGGTCCTGAGTAAGGAATAGGTTGCCCATCCTTGGTCTACACCAACCACCCTGCACCGCGTCGCCCTCCTCCTCCGCCCGCTGCTGGACTTCCCAGCTCGCACACCTGCAGACAGCTCCCACACCTGCACACAGATCCCACAACTCCGTTGGTGGCGTCCCTGGAAAACAACGCAAGACACACGACGCCCCCCCCAGCTCGGCTTGCTCTGTGACATCACACTCGGTCGCCCGCTCACTCGTGTGCATCGAACCTCCTGCTCTGCTCTGAGGTGACACAGCTGAATCTTGATTTGAAGCTTTCGTGACTGCAGGAATCCATACTCTTTGGTTCTTTCGGTAAAGTCACGTAGGTGCAAAATAAAATAAATCAGTGATTTAAAGTCACGTAGGCATAAAATAAAATAAATCAGTGGTTCATTTCTTTGGTCTACCTACGTGACTTTACCGAAAGAACCAAAGAGTATGTGACACAGCTGGGCTGGTAAATCTTTGAGCCAATAATCTTCTCACTGGGCCCCACCGATTCTCATTCATGGAGGGGGGGGGGGGGGTTCAAAGGGGTGGGTGATCCAACGGTCTGCGGTTGCTGTTTGGTGTTGTGGAGTCAGAGCTGCAAGGATGGCACGGGAAGCCGCGCCGGCGTGGCGCGTAAGTCACGGCAGGAACGAGTCGGCACGACCGCGTGGCTGTTCACGGCTGTGCCCTCACGGCGCGCCAATGAGCTTTCGGTGTTGTTGCCGCCTGTTGTTCGGCGCGATGCCCGACGTTTCGCTTCTTGCAGAAGGACCCATTGCGCGGAGTGAAATGTCGGACATCGCGCCGAAGAGCACGCGGTCCGTCGCGGGTGCGGTGTCGGGGACAGCTGAACAAGCAGGCATACGGATCATTTTATGAAATTCAAAAATGACGATCGTGTAGATAATGTATCGGTGAATGTAAATAACATATTATATATATATTCCTGCTTTGATAAGGCAGCGGTCTGTTTACTCGTTCCTACCTTAACTGGCGCGACATGTTCGTGCAATTACCCGGCGCTCACCCCAGGTTGCAATTTAATGAGCTACTTAGTCGCGTATGAAATTGCTGCTTCTGTGAATTCACACGATGGACACCAGGTGATTTAAGAACAATAATTACACGGGGTTATTTGGTTATTTTATTATCGTCGTTGACATCTGATATCCAACCCATTCATCATTTCCAGCATATCATATCCTCCCTCGCTGCAAACCTCTATTTTCCTGAAGAAGGCCCATCGACCTAAACGTCAACAAATGTATTTCTTTGGGTTCACCCGCACTCAATGTACTGTCACCCAGACTGATCTACTGATCTACTGATGCCACAACGGTTGTGAATTGGCCACCGGTGCTTCTTTTCAATCTAGATTTAAAACTCATTTCTTTAGAGATGCTTTTTTGTGTTCAGTTCGTTTTCCCTCACCCGCAGTGCCCGTGTACAAAGTCAGAACCCAACAATTGCGCCCTCATGTAGACTGCAATGCTATCGGATACAACGCAGCTTTAGATCATCAATGTGATTGGCTACCGAACAGGGGCATTGGCAACCAATCAAACCGACCACAGGACAGGTGTGCCCTATGATTGGCAACTGCTACTGCTGCTGTGTAAAGCAGCCCGCAGTTAAAAACAACGCGTGGAACTCAAACGGCTAAAACTCGGAGGGGCTGTCAATATCGTCCCTGTTGCACCTAGAATCTAAGACTATTATTGCGTGTCCCTTCTCCCGGTGACAGTTAACACACACACACACCCCAGCCACCTCCCTGTCCTTATCTTAAATTCGCATTCACGCAGCTGTAATGGGTTCACGCGGTTGGGGAGGGGGTGGGGCGTTGGGGTGGGGTGGAGGGGCATTACCCCCCCCCCCCCCCACTTCTTCATCCTTTCTCATCGATACCAAACGTAAAAAAACAAGTAGGTCATACCAGGGGCTAAATGTCGCCGCTCTATTTTCCGCAAACGCTGCTATAGCCAGCGGCTGACTCGGAGTACGGATCACCGGCATAAGGCACTACCACTCGTGTAACGGGTACACCTATCAATAATAATAATTAAAATGTTCTTGCACCTCACTACATTCCTAGAATTATATGAACAGGCTGATCGAGAGGAGCGTTCTGGTTCTGTTTCGGCTGCAATGAAGCGCTTGGTTGAGACTCGTGGTGGGGTGCAGCGGTCGCTGCTGCTGCTGCAGAGTGGAGCCCCAGAGCACGTGGAGGGAGGGGGATGAATGACGGTGGGGAGGGGGGGGGCAGAGGCCGACTTCGTTCTGGCGAAGGGAGAGGGAGTGATCTCCTGCAGGCCAGGGCTTCATTTCTCACTCAATGTGTTCCGGGTCGCTGGTTGACTGGAGTATACGCGGCACGCGACTACCACTGTAGTAGCCACAGTTGTGGCGAGAGGTCGACTGACTGGATGTGGTGTGCCGGGTGCCTGGAAGGTTTCGGGGAGGACCCGGCTGAAATTAAGCCCTGCTTGCAAGACTTGTACGTACGGCCGGATTCAAATGTTGCTGGCAAATGGTTTTCATCCAATTTTTTTTGGGCGGGTGGAGGGAGGGGGGGGTGAACTGCCACCGACATTTCGGATCGTCACCATTGACAGATTGTCGATTGCTTAGGCCGAAGAGTTTTTTTTTGGCCGATTCACCAAAAAAAAGATTTTGCTCATTTGACCCCGGGTACCCGACGGTGTGGAGCAGCATCAGCAGCGGGACGATGACGATGCTGATGACGATGGTGACGATGACGACGGTGACGATGCTGATGACGATGGTGACGATGCTGATGACGATGGTGACGATGCTGATGACGATGGTGACGATGGTGACGATGCTGATGACGATGGTGACGATGATGAAAGCCTGGTTCCAGACAGCGGGGGAAGTCACGGAGAAACGACGGCCGGCAGCGACGGCCCCTGGGCCTTGGTGGGTATCGACGGACGTGTTGACTTTGTTGTTTGTGATTTGTGTTTGCGCATCACTGCCAAAGCAGCGGCAGCAGCAGCATCACCAAATCGGTGGCTTGAGGAGCGAACTGAAAGGCGGCTGTGCATCGACTCTGCGCCCTTTCCCCACAACCACCGCCTTTGCCCGTTCGGTGTCGAGTATTGATATTTGTGTTCGTCCATAGCGTTCTAAGTTATTATTTATTGGCAATAAAAATGTCCCAACGTCCCGGCAAATGCTTGGAGGAATCTTCAGAGAGAGTGAGGGAGAGTGCGGGTGGCTGTGTTAATTGATTTGTTGTTAATGTTTGCTTTGTGTGTGTCTGCGTTTTTTATTTCGGGTGGGGAGCGGTGGCACTGCGCTACGAACCCGGCCCACCTGAGTTCAACTCTCGCTCATTGCCACCAACACCAGTGACGATTATCTGAACCGGTCCTGGACCTCGCATAGGTCGACTCAGCCTTAAATGTGTACAGTATCTGGTGCGTTGTAGAAACCGCCACTTGGGAGACAAAGGCGTTCAGGCGTGGTGCTGGACACCCACTCCCTCGTGTGCCGTGCCGGCCTTCATAGGTGCCCACTAACAGCACTTGTCCCAACAGTCTGTTAAGGCTATACGGGGGAACTTTTTCTTGTGTTTGTGAGACCATATTTGTATTATGTTATTGACACCAGGCATGCGTCTTGGGTGCGTCTTACATTCCGGAGCGTCTTATAATCCGGATAATATGGTATTTACAGAGCGAGTAGGGAATATATATTATAGCAACATAAACACATCCAAACTTTTATAAATGAAACACAGTCCACACGTTTGTGACGAGGTTATTTCTTAAAGTGTGCGTGTGTGTGTGTTCATACGTGCACTGTATCTATAAATGTCCAGTGCTGTCTGAACCTGTCTTAATTCTCTCCTAGGGCGACTGAGCCTCAAATTGGTTCGTGGTACGATGTGCGAACGTCAGCGCTGGGGAAGGCGAAGACGGATGCGCATGGTGATGGCCATACCACCACTGACCATCTCAACATTAATGGGTGGGGGGCAGTGGGGGCTGGAAAGGGTGGGAGGTAAGAAGGAGAGGGTGGGGGGGAGATCGTGGGGATTGGGGTTAGGGGAGAGTACGTGGGTTCATTCAGAGAGCCAGCGCCTGCGGGCTCCGTTGCTAGCTCAAGTTTCATTCCATTTTTGTCTAGGGGGTAAGAGCGGGTGAGGGGTGAGATGGGGGGGGGGGGGGGTTGCCCCCACGTGCCGCGCGTGATATTATATTGCATATTTCCTGAAACACAGACACCGCTGGCTCTGGAAAATGCATTTGTAATTAGCGGTAATCCCGCGGCAGCGCGGCCGCTACCGAGCTGTACAGAAACAGCGGCGCGCGTCGATCGCTCGGCTCCACGTGTCCCTCCGTGGGCTGCCACTCCGTCGTTAGTCTCGACCGCCGGGGTCACATCCCGTGGTCCCTCTGTCGCAAGCGCACTTGTCACAATGGCGCGCCTTCTCGGCAGTCGGCCGCTAAACTGGAGCCGGTGATTTTGGCGTCGTCATTCGAAGCGGTGACGAGCCGATCCGTTGAATCGCTTCGGCTCTGCCGAGACATTTTAATTTGTTGGCCCGGGAGTCGTCGAGTCTACCTACGGTGGAGTGGCGGCCGAACGAGGGGCGGGGGGGGGGGGACAAACACAAACCCTCGTGGAGGGATGCCAACCGGAATCGAAATATTTAGACTGTAGGAGGAATCTGATGAGCTATAAAGCTCTTTTTCACAGATGTCCAGTAGGGGCACGGGGTAAGGACGTAACAACAATGGAGAGTGATCAATAAGCGTGGCTCGTGCGCAGACGCTGTCTGCAATAATCCATCCAGTAGGTGATCGATAATGGCTGATGATGATCATCATTATTAACGTTGCTAATGTTCTTCTGACAGCTGCATGCTCTGCTCTGGAGAGCAAGTGAAGCCACAGGGAATTCTTGCTCAAATGAGCATCGAGACATCGGTGCGAATGTCCTGTGTATTACTGCCTCGCAGAACCGGAGGTGGAAATTCCACGTTACTTTGGCGGGAAGGAGTCTGTCCATTGCACGACCTGCTGTTGACTTACTAGAAAAATTTGGTACCAATTTTTTTTATCGAATTCCCGTGGGATGATGGGACCGAATCAACCCGCACACGACCAGGAGTCTAAGTTTTCCGATTGCGAGTCGCTCGCTCTCCCGCTGAGCCACTGGGCCGGGCAGCAGCTTCCCCGTAACACACACACAGTGATCAGCCACGGCCGAGGTATTGGCTGAGGTATTGGTCCTGATCATTGTTTTAATGCGGTGGGCTCACACGAAATTGAATTCTCCAAGACGAAGGTACTCTGCAAACCCACTGGCTATCAACAAAGATTCGTTCATGAAGCCATCCAGATATACACAGACACCATTTCAACCGAGAAGATGGGTACAAACTGAGCAATCATTGGAAGGACGTTATCAACCAGTTTAAGTCATAACTGGCTGTGATGTTTCCATCCTACTTTCCGATGTTAGCAGTTATTTTCAACTCTCTGATTTTACATTAACAGGTTCACACTAACACAGCCGCCGTTTACATTGGCATGCTAATATCTTATATTGACATGCTAATCTCTCTCACCTTAACATCACTAGCCCCGCCCACTTCGTTTATGACCCTTGGGCTACACCCATTTCAAACCTTTAAAACAGCCTGCTTCAGCAGCTTCCCCCCCCCCCGCCCCCCGTATTCCCCTGATGACGATTGCTTGTGTTGCGATCGAAACGTCGTGACATTTTTATAATTTTGTATTCACTTTATTTTCTATTTGTATTTTTATTATTTTATTCTTCTATCTATGTGACTTTACCGAAATACCCAAAGAATATGAATTCCTGCAGTCACGAAAGCTTTAAGTCAAGTAAATTACAATTACCTTCTATCCCGGCTGGGAAAGTGTCCGTGTGTTCAGAAGCCATTCAAGGTGTCGGGGCCCACAGAACAACGGGACGGATAACAACAACAATAACAACAACAACCCCAGCAGACAAATAAGGTAACGAGCCCAGGGTTTGGTTTGAGAGCCTCCTCAAAGCGTACTGGCAAAGCCACAGCTGATATCATTCGTCGTTGTCCTTTATGTATCCTTCATGAATGCAGCTATTTATTTGTTTGTAAAGATAAAGGCGCAGCCCTGCAATTACCTGCGAATGAGCACAGGGGCCCAAAGGGCCTGACGCCTGCTGTATATTTGGAGTTTGCGGTGTCTCTCTCTCTCCGTAGTCGCGTGGATTTTTTTGCTGCTATAAATGTCCACATGATGATAAGCCGCTTCGTTGAGCTATAATTTGTGGCCAGGTCGCTTCTGAAATATACCTGTATAGCTCAGTGGACCTCACCCTCGGTATCAAAAATATATATAGTTTCGTTTATTGTAATAGCTCGGGAAAAATAGACGATGAGAAGGGGATTTCACTGGTAGCAGAAGCCCCATGCCCATCCCTCCCCCACTCGACAGAGGTCTGGAGAATCCCTGTACAGGGTATGTATGTTGGCCTGCCTACTCTCCCGCGCATCTAAATCCGCAGTTCAATTTACAAACTCGATGCGAAGCCGGATGAGAACGCATTGCGTCAGGGCCGTCTTTCAGCTCAGACCTGGGTATGAAAAAAAAAATGTTTAGCAAAGTAGTAGGAAACGTTGCATAACAATTACAATGATCAACATAATTTGGCAGAAGCCATTGTCTATCCACTGCTGAATGGAGGCCTCCCAAGGCCGTGGCCATCTCTAAAGATCTTGCGATGCCAACGATCCGTCCAGTAGTAGGTGGGCAAATAACAAGAACAAACACGGTGGGGGCTCATTTAATCGATCCATCTCCGTGGCGTGCGACCCACACCGGGTTGTGGCTTCCTCTCCTTTGGCTGCGACTCCGTCGTTTGTCTCGACCGCTCGAGTGCGGTCGCCACTTGGAGGGGGGGGGGGAAATACGACGACGCTCGAGACAACAATTAAACGATGATGATGACGAGCGTTTTTTTTATTGTTCGAACAACTAATAATAATAACAATTAAACTACGTTATCGTTTAATTGTTCCAACAACAATTCATAACAACAATTAAATGGCGACATTGAAAAATATCGCACTCGAGTGTGTGGGACTTCACCTCCGTTTTATTTAAGTAAAATGTCCCCTAGGGAGGAGGAAGGGGATGGGGGGGGGGTCGTGGTGCCTCGGTTCAGCAGCAATCATATTTTTAACAAAATATCGCGCTTATAGCATCGCGCACTTTCCACTGAAGGAAAGACGGAATTGAGAGAAGGAGACTTACAACGTCAACGAGCCAACGCCACCTCCCTTCCCTGAAACGGAACCTGCTCGTCTGCTGCCGGTGTCGCGCGCCTTTGTCGGAGGGGCGCTGAGTGACGGCCCGACATCGGACATGCAACAACAAAAAAAACCACATTCCCTGAATTATTAACAACCTTCGGCTTTAAGGCATCAAACAAAACGCACGGAAAGAAAGTGCCGCTATCGCCTGGCGCCACGCTCCCCGCGAGCCAGCCGGTCGCGGCCGTCGCGATCCGTTCGCTCCCCTGGATGTTCGCCATCTCGGCAACGGAGCGTGGAGCACCATCACGCTAACTCCGATCGGCTCTTTGGCTCTGCCATCCAACAAAGACGGCGACCACCGCATCTGCGGCCGTCTGGAACGCTCTTTCCTTCCGATATTAGGAAGCCACTGGAGCTGTGCACTTTTAAATAATCCAGATTGACGAACTCGTCTCTTTCGAACTGCTTCTTGTGTTTCGTTTGGTGTCCTTCCTTGCACCGCACCTCCGATGAGCACGGTTGGCTACGTAACGGAGCGAAAGAAGTTCAACGTACCGGCACGTACATTTACCTCGACCGACGGATCGCAGGAGGATATCGGCGATGGAGTTGCTACGCCGTGGGGGGGGGGAGGTCTGTCCGTCTCTCACCAAATGTCCCAATGTAAACCCCTTGTTTGTACACCACCAAAGCCGTCCCCGGGGCGACGGTTCACCAGAATACCCATACAACTCGCAATGATGAACATTACACTCAAATATTTATATATACACACACACTTACAGAGCATACGTCAACGTGAATGTGGCAAAGGCACAGCCCTGCAATTTCTCGCTCACGCCACTCCTGTGGGAAGGGCGCCTTCACTCGCGGGAGCTCGAGAGAGATCCCCT